ATACATTCTTTTTGGCTGCACATAGATCATTTTCCAAGATAGACCACATACTGACTCACAGAACAGATCTCAATAAATGCAAAAGAATTGAAGTCATCCCCTGTATATTATCAGATCATAGTGCAATCAAGCTGGAGATCAATAGCACAAGAAACTGTAGGAACTTCACAAGTACATGGAAACTGAACAACACTCTCCTAAACAATCAATGGATTAGAGAGGAAATTAAAGAAGAAATCAGACAGTTTTTACAAATAAATGAAAATGCCAATACAACATATAGGAATCTATGGGACACAATGAAAGTAGTTCTAGAGGGAAAATTCATAACATTGAATGCCCACACTAGGAAAACAGAGTGGGCTCAAATAAACAGCCTAATGATGAATCTTAGACTCCTAGAAAAACAAGAGCAAGAAAAACCCAAAGCTCAAAGGAGAGATGAAATTATAAAGATTAGAGCAGAAATCAATGCAATGGAAACTAAGAAAACGATACAAAAAATAAATGAAATAAAGAGCTGTTTTGTTGAAAGAATAAATAAAATTGACAAACCCTTAGCTAATCTTATCAAAAAAAAGGAAAGAAAAGGCTCAGATCCATGCAATCAGGAATGAAAAAGGTGAAGTCACAACAGATCCAACAGAAATCCAGAGGATACTCAATACCGACTTTGAGAACCTGTACTCTAATAAATTGGAAGACACAGAAGAAATGGACAGATTTCTAGATACTTATGAATTATCAAAGTTGAACAAAGAAGATAAAAACATTTTAAACACCCCAATTACAGTCAGTGAAATTGAAAATGTAATTAAAAATTTACCAACAAAGAAAATCCCAGGTCCTGATGGATTCACTGCTGAATTATACAAGACATTTAGAGAAGAACTACTGCCATTACTCTTCAAACTTTTCAATGAAATTGAAAGGGAAGCTGTACTTCCAAATTCATTTCAGAAAGCAAGTATCACTTTGATTCCCAAACCAGGGAAAGACCCAACTAAAAAAGAGAACTACAGGCCAATCTCCTTAATGAATATAGATGCAAAGATCCTCAATAAGATACTAGCAAACAGAAAACAGAGGATCATCAAGAAGATCTGGACCAAGTCGGATTTATTCCAGGGATGCAAGGATGGTTCAACATATTTAAGTCAATAAATGTATTACATTATACTAACAAAGTCAATGACAAAAACCATATGATCCTCTCAATAGATGCAGAAAAAGCATTTGACAAAATTCAACACCCATTCATGATAAAAAATCCTGCAAAAAATTGGAATAGATTGTCTATATCTCAATTTAATAAAGGCTATCTATGGAAAACCAACATCCAAAATCATATAAATGGCCAAAAACTGAAAAGCTTCACGTTAAAAATCAGGAACAAGACAAGGATGCTCACTATCACCACTCCTCTTTGATATAGTTCTGCAAACATTAGCCACAGCAATTACACAAGAGAAAGAAATTAAAGCAATAAAGACAGGAAAGAAAGAAGTTAAACTGTCATTATTTGCTGACGATATGATACTCTACATTGAAGACCCAAAAAATTCCACCAAAAGACTTCTAGACTTAATTGACACTTTTAACAGAGTAGCTAGATACAAGGTCAACACCCCAAAATCAGTAGCCTTCTTGTACACAAATAACAGACTCACTGAGAGAAAAATAAGGGAAACAATTCCCTTCACAATAGCATCCAAAAAAATGAAGTATCTAGGAATCAATCTAACAAAAGCAAAAGTTCTCCACACTGAAAATTGTAGCACTCTGAAAAAAGAAATTGAAGAGGATATTTAAAAATGGAAAGATATCCCCTGCTCCTGGGTAGGAAGAATCAACATAGTGAAAATGACCATACTACCAAAACTGCTATACAGACTCAATGCAATGCCAATTGAAATTCCAACACTATATTTCACAGAACTAGAAAAAAGAATCCAAAAATTCATTTGGAACCATAAGAGACCTAGAATAGCAAAAGCCATCCTAGGCAACAGAACCATGGCAACTGTATAACAGTTCCCAATTTGAAACTACACTACAAAGCCACTGTGATAAAAACAGCATGGTACTGGCAAAGAAACAGGCCTGAGGATCCATGGAACAGATTGGAAGACACAAAAACAAATCCAGATGTACTCAGCTACCTCATCTTTGACAAAGGAGCTGACCATCCTCAGTGGAGCAATGATAGCCTCTTCAATAAATGGTGTTGGAAAAACTGGATTTCAACCTGCCACACATTAAAACTGGACCCTTATTTTTCACCATACACTAAATTAAAATCCAAGTGGATTAAAGATCTAAATACTAAAACAGAAACACTAAACTTGCTGGAAAGTAAGTTAGGCAGAACTCTGGATGACATTGGCATAGGAAAAGACTATGAACAAATCCTCAGTAGCACAGGAACTAGCAGAAAGAATCAACAACTGGGGTCTCATCTTATTAAAAAGCTTCTGTACCACAAAAGAAACCATGAGCAGAACTAAGAGACAACCTACAATGTGCAAAAAAATTTTTACCAGCTGCTCCTCAGACAAAGGACTCTTTTCTAGAATATATAAAGAACTCAAAACAACCAGACCCCCCAAATAAAAGACCTGATTCAAAAATAGGCATCTGAAATGAACAGACATTTCTCAGACAAAGAAGTAAAATGTACCACAAAAGAAACCATGAGCAGAACTAAGAGACAACCTACAATGTGCAAAAAAATTTTTACCAGCTGCTCCTCAGACAAAGGACTCTTTTCTAGAATATATAAAGAACTCAAAACAACCAGACCCCCCAAATAAAAGACCTGATTCAAAAATAGGCATCTGAAATGAACAGACATTTCTCAGACAAAGAAGTAAAAGCAGCAAGTAAATATATGAAAAAATGTGTCACATCACTGGTCATTCGAGAGATGCACATGAAAACAACAGTGAGATTCCACCTCACCCCACAAAGAATGGCTGCTATGAAGAAATCAAACAATAACAGATGTTGGCAGGGTTGTGGGGAGAAAGGAACCCTTCTCCATTGTTGGTGGGAGTGCAGACTGGTGCAACCACCATGGAAATCAATGTGGAGATACCTCAGAGAGCTGGGACTAGAGGTTCCATTTCACCCAGCCATCCCTCTGCTGGGTATCTTTCCAAGAGAACTAAAAGAATCATATCACAGTGATGTATGTGCACTCATGCTTATAGTGGCACAGTTTGTAGTAGTTAAACCTTGGAAACAGTCCATTTGCCCATCAATTGGAGACTGGATAAAGAAGATGTGCATTTTCTATAAAATGGAATATTACTCAGCCATAAAGAACGAGAAATTAGATTCACTCATAGGAAAATGGGTACATATTGAGGATGTACTCCTAAGTGAAATAAATAAGTCACAGATGTGTGAATACCGAATAGTTTCTCTGGTGTGAATAAACTGTAATAATAAATAAAATCCTAATGAGATGACTGACATTGTGAAATGGGAAGCAAGGGGCTAAAGGTGTAGGGAAGGTGTGATGGGTAGGGGAAGGGTAATAAGGGAACAGAAAAAAATGTGAGAAAATGAAAAGATGGAAATAAAGTGTTTGTAAATGGGGAGGGGAGGAGGGGGTGAATGGAGAGCAGGGACAAGGGGAAAAAATGAGAATCAAGACCTGTCATGGAAAGGTGCAAGATCCCAACAATGAGTGTAACTGTACTGTATCCCTAAAATGTACCAATAAACTCAATTAAACCTGAAAAAAATAAAGATAAACAAACAAACAAGAAATAAAAAAATAAAAATTTAGATTGTGGATGAGAGGAAACAACATCCAGCATACTCTTGGTCTCAAAATTAGCAATGATTACAAAAAGCTCGGTGTTGACATTTTGGCCTCCTAGAAACAGTAAGCAACATGTTCAGTGACCTGGTCAAGGAATAGTACAGACTCAGCTCCTTCCTACCACCCCATAGCCTCAGGCAATTCAGACATCTGGAGATTCCTGGTACTCCTGTTGGTGTCAGTTCAGCCCAATTTCCCACATAGTGACTTGAATTACACGTATGAGGGAAAGCTTCCAAGACATAAAGCTGATGAGGAAGTTAAGAAGAAGGACCTAGAAAGCCATGAGTGCCCTGTTACAGGCACTGGAGAATAAAGAAGTAAGACTCGTATTTTAGGAAGCAGGCAATTAGAGGGAGACAAGATGGAGAGCCGATGTGGCAACAAGAGATGAAAATGGAAACTTTTAAAATAATGTCTTAAGAGGTGGTAGGACCTCAACTGGATCTGAAGTCATATGTGTAGAATGGAGGAGGACAGACATGAGGAGTTTTCAGGGTCCAAATAATCGGGACTTGAGGATGGAGCTGGGGGAATGCTGTATAGGAGGTTAATTGTCTGCCATCCTGGGCGGTTACTCTGTTACAGCCACTTAGGTTTATAGGCTGATGTTCCTTTGCTCACCACTGACTAAAGCAAAGGAGGCCATTTATTCCGGTAAAAAGGGTTTATTCAAAGCTAGCGCTAAGGAGATGGAGGGGCCCACTTGCCTCAAATCAACATCTCACCATGCACAGGTGGGTAAAGGTCTTTTCCAGCAAGGAACAGAGAACGGGGGGAGCACAGGGAGATAAGGCAGATCTCCACACTCGCTTATCACCTTCCTGCATCTCCAGCTCATTCTCCCCGTTCTTGTGGAAGGGAAAGGAAAGGGCTCCAGCCTGTGGGCTGGCGTCTGCATATTTTGTCGCTTCATCTGTGCTAAGGAGAGGAGGGCACTGATTATGTGCTCAGGGAGAGAAACCTTGGAGAAGCTGCTCACCTCTAAAGAACAAAAACATCTGACTTTGCAATTTTCGTTTTGCACTGCCAGTTACAACTCCGATAAGTTAGAGTAGCGGAGCCATTCACAGCGCCAAAGAGCTTGGCACTGTGATTTGCCCTATTACCCTCTCCTCTACACTGCCTATGTTCTTACTGCATTTGATTTCGTTTGGTTTTTCTGAAGGTCCAGAAATGTCCTTGGTGTGTTTGACAGACTTTGAGACGCTCGCTCGACAGCGGCTGTCTAAGACAACTTGGGATTATATTGAAGGCGGTGCTGATGAAGGCATCACCCGGGATGACAACGTCGCAGCATTTAAAAGGTCTGCTCTTCGGAATCCTTTATATTGTTAAGCTAAAGTGTACTGCTTGAGAGCCCCTTAAATGATGCTTAGTAGTGTAGTCCTTCCTGTTTCCAAAGAATATAGAATACTCAAGATATAATAATTGGTCTTTTAACCAGGTACAGTGGTACTCACCTGTAATCCCAGCACTCTGGTGAGCAGAGGCAGGAGGATCACAAGTTTGAGCCCAAGCCAGATAACAATCTAGTGAGACTTGACTTCAAAATGTAAAGGAGGGAGTGTGGCCGGGGATGCTGGAACAAAGACCTTAGGTTCATTCTCTAGTACCAAAAAGAAGTGTCTTTCTGTTGTTCTGTTTTGCAGGGAGAAGAATAGGGGCTGGAGAGATGATAAGAGGGAGAATTTATAGGGAGGAAATTTATCTTATAACCAGCACAAATGAGTTATCTTCCTTCTGTAGTCCACAATTTTGCAACCCCTTTTGGGATAAGAGTCCAGGAAGATTTGTCACATTCTTACGTCCAGATGTCCTAAGTTTCTAACCTGTTGTCTTGAGGAAAAATGTAAGAAAAGAGGGAGGAATCAGTCTGAAGAAAATAATGATTCCAGGAGTCTTGGAGGGATAGAAGCTTGATTCAAAGGAGAAGATTTGGACATAACACATAGGAGAATAAACTATGGTTCACCCAACAATTGCTACAATCCAGGTCTGGCCCACCACCTACTTTAATGTAGATAACAAAACGGTTTTCCATTTGTAAATGCTCAGCGTAGAAAAGTAAAAGAAGAGATGTAAAAATTATAGTCATGTGTCACTTAATAATCATGTGTCTCGGAATATATCCTGAGAATTACATTGATAGAGAAGCTCATTATTGTATGAAAATGATAAATTCTACAAACTATAATGGCTCCATCTTTTAGTAGGAGATACAATCTTAGGGTCTCGCTGCATTTGGCATGCGACCACCAACCTTATGATGTTCCCTGTTCTAGACTCTCAGTCCAATATAGAAATAAAGGAAAGGACTCTGAGAAGTTGACAAGTGAAAGTGAGTTTTTATTGCAAAGAAGTGATACAGACCTCTCTAAAAAGAGGGCTCCAGACCTGAAAAGCCCCCATTGTAGGGACTGTGGGTTGCTTCTATTGGGGTTTGTGTGTCTCCTTTCAGCTTCTCCCTCAGTCTTTGGAGGGGATGGCTTGCCATTAGTCTTTATGCTGTTATTAAGTTTGCACAATTAGCACAAGCCAGTCATCCTGTTGGGATCTGAGTCACTCAACTACAGGGGCTGCATAGTTGTTGCAGTCACCAGCTAGCCTTGGAACATCTAACATTTTAGTTGATTTTCTTTTCCAAGCAACCTCATCCACTTCTTTTCTCTCCACTTCTTTATTCTCCCCAGGACCTGAGTCCCTGTGCAGTCCCTGCCTACTACAGACCTCTTTCCATACAGTCCACCATTATCCACATGTCTGTTCTTGCCTGAATTGTTCTATGACCATGTAGAAACATAAAATTGCCTTGTCCATAAAGTTTTACTGAAACACAGCCATGCTTAATTATTTACTATTGTCTGTGGCTGCTTTTATGCTACGTAAACAACTGAATAATTGTGACAAAGACTGTGTAACACAGAAAGCCTAGAATATTTGCTGTCTGCATCTTATTTAAAAAGTTTCATGACTCCTGTGATAGAAAAGTCAAGAGAAAACTGAAAAATAGAATTAAAAAGTCAACATTAGTCTCTGCTGTATTTTCATATTTGACTAGCAAAACACTGAGAGCTTTTAATGATTGGTTTCAGTTTGTCCTCATAAAACTTGTAGAAAATTTGTTTTCTTTATTCATATTTACTGATGAAGTAACAGAGGCTAATTTGCTCAAGTTTGAGTAATTAATATGCTCAGGAAAATTTCCTAAGTTAATGTACAAAAATAATGTTGGTAAAAAAACAAAAAATTTTGGACTCTGAGGTTGTCTTTATTTGTCTTAAGACTGTGTTTTACAAATGTATTTGTGAATTATCCTATCTTTTTTTGAACCAATACAGTATTTAAGTCAAAATCAAATGAATTAGCCTCCTGAAAAACAGTCATGCCCATTTTCTGGGATTTGTCCTCTTCAGTGGCCTTTTATTAAGGATTTGTTGCTGGCCAAGGAGGGAATGACCCTGGAACTTTTCCCTATGTTTTCTTTTCCTTTCTAGGCCCTTGTTATGATGAATCAATGAAGCTGTCTAAGGCCTGAGAGGTTACTCAGGGAGGCAGGGCACAAAGACACAGAAACCCAAAAAAGCAAAGCAGGGACTGGTGTGGGCCATGGTACCCTAGCAGCTCGGAAAGGGCTGGGTTAATATGGGATACGATGTTGGAAATGAGCCTCCTGATGGACCTAAACCTTCCACTGAGGATCAGCCAACTGTGCCCAGCAAGATTTCAACAGGATCCAGCCTGGATGAGCTCTCTGCCAGGCACCTGGGCTCCAGCTTTGGGCAACATTGCCATGCTGGAGACTCCTCTCACCGACACCCTCCACTTGTTTTGTAGCACAGATTCCGCCTCCGTCCACGGTATCTGAGAGATGTGTCGGAGGTGGACACCAGGACCACAATCCAAGGGGAAGAGATCAGTGCCCCGATTTGCATCGCACCCTCTGGTTTCCACCGCATCGCCTGGCCCGATGGAGAAATGAGCACAGCCAGAGGTATGAACTGATCTCATCTTCGGGCTCCCTTCCCAGAAGGCTAGACGTGTGCAGGAAACCTCCCTCAGAGCTGTGGCAGGCCTTTTGCACATCATGTGTAGCATGAGAGTGACTTTACCTGCTTTTTAAAAAGCTGATTGAAATGAAGAAAATGGAAGTGAGAAATAACACATTTTAGAGCAGTTGCGGTATCAATGTTATCATTGCCGTCACCAACCCCTTGTCGTTAACAGGTGTTCACTATTTTGGGTGGATACCGGGGATTGAACTTGGGTCTTTGCCCTTGTGAGGCAGGTGTTCACTATTAACATGTGTTCGTGACACAATGTTCCACATCTATTCCCTTATTTGATCACCCAACAGAACACAGGTAGCATTATGCCTCTCATTTCACAGACACAGGAAATGAAACGTAATGTCACACCAAAGACGTGGTGAGACTAGCATCCTTCTAGTTGCTACCGAGCAAGTAGATACCAGGAACTACCACCATGTTCAAGCTTTTGCAGTGTAATTACATTCCCCATTCCCTGACCTGTTTCCCTTCTACTTCATTGAATTATAAGAAGCCCGCTTTCTTTTTCTGAAGACTCTAACCTACCCAATACTCTTCTGTAGATTAAAAGATATCTGTAGCAGGAACATTTTTTTATGGGGCCTGGGAGTCATAAGACAGTTTACACGCAGAGGAGTGCCTAGACAGCTTTAAGCCTTTCAGTCAAATCAAACTATCTCCTGGATTTTCTCTGAGGGAAGCACAGCAAATCTAAATTTTATCTTTGCCTATACAGCAAGCGGGTCAGAGACAGCACAGACACCTTGGGTTTCTCACCCCCATCCAGAATGCCTCTGTCCTCCACATATGTCTTCTTCTCTGCTTTGCAGCTGCCCAAGCCGCTGGCACCTGCTACATCACCAGCACATATGCCAGCTGCACCCTGGAAGACATTGTAGCTGCTGCCCCAAGAGGCCTCCGATGGTTCCAGCTCTACGTGCAGACCAACTGGGAGCTAAATAAACAGCTGATCCAGAGGGCAGAATCCCTGGGTTTTCAAGCCTTGGTAATCACTGTGGATGTACCTGTGCCTGGCAAAAGGCGAAATGACATTCGAAACCAAGTGGATTTGAAGTTGAACTTGATGCTAAAGGACCTTCGATCACCAGAAGAGGTAATAATGATACCATATCCAACGGGTAGACACTTAGAAGCAAATGTCCTTCCTTTTTCCCCTCCTTCCTTCCCATGTTTCTTTCCAAAGGTTTGTTGTTGTTGTTGTTGTTGTTGCTGCTGCTGTTTTTGAGTCCCTATCCTGTGCCAGACACCTGGGATACAACAGTTTTTAAAAGGCAGATATGGTTCCCGCTTCCCAGAGCCTCCCAACAAGCAGAACATAATCCCAGACATTCTTAACCATGGATCTGCCCAACCTGTCACCGTGTGTAAACGGGAAAGCCCTGGAAAGAATTTTTGCAGCAGTAGGAAAGTAAAGATATCATCTAACATTTTCTCTTCTTAAAAGCATATTTTGAATATGATAACTTTGGATGGCACTATTGATAAACGGATGCCCTGAAGAGGATACTCACAGGCGAAGTGACTGGCCAGCCAGCCTAGCCAACTGAGTCCTACCTTGCTGCCTTGGACACTGAGGAGTCAACGTCACTGCACACTTAAAACTCATTCTCTTATTTATTTATTTTGGTACTAGAGATCAAACTCATGTCCTTGCACTTGCAAGGCAGGCGGCAGCACCACTGAGCTAAATCCCCAGCCTGAGAACTCATTCTGGAAGGAGCAAGGTGCTACAGAATGCCTGTTTGATGTCTTCGAATTAAGTGACTACAAATGACCTTCTTTTGTGAAAATCTCATTCTTGTAAAGGATAGAGTGTCCCAGAGAGAAAGAACACCAGGGTAAAATTGGAATTCCTTGGCTACATTAGACAGTCACAACAGCATTTTAGTCAACAGGCAGCTACAATACCCAGCCAAGAAACTCAGCAGTTTTCTTTAATCAGAATGGCCTTGAGGAATTCTAGATATTTATCCCAGTGTCCAGAAAAACACATGGAGATGAAAGGATATTTGATACACACGGTAACTCAATGGTAGGTATTGGGTAATAGCCGATTCAACATTCTTGAAGTACTGTTTTGGTCTCATTAATCCGTGTATATTTCAAAAACAATATCACACTGACTTCGAAGTACTTTTACGTATTCATCTCACATACTAAACTTTGAATTCTTTTGAAGTAGAGATTCTGTCACATCTGTCTTTGTGTCACCACGCCCTGGAATAACCATGGAGCAAGGACATGATTAATGCTTAATGCATAAGAAATTGAAGTAGAGCCAGGTGGGGGTGGTCCAAACCTGTCATCTCAGCACTGAGATAGGGAATCACAGTCTCAACTTAGTGAGACCCTATCTCAAAATAAAAAATAAAAAGGGCTGGGAATGTAGCTCAGTGGTAGAGTAACCCTGGATTTGATTCTAAGGAAAGACAAAGAAAGGGGTGGGGGGTGAGGGAGAGGAAAGAAGAGAAAAAGCAAACAAAGTATAAATTCCTTTATAAAACTGCTAGGGAAACAAGCTAAAAACACAGTTGGATTTTGTTGGTCCTCTTTCCAAGCTTATAAACGGCAGCCTTCCTATGTGTCTCACTCCTGGAACAAGTCAAGCAATCTTGTAGGAATTCAGGACTCAGGTGACTTTTTATTCCCCACAGAAGAATTTCATACCTGACATACAGCTGTCTTCCATAAACTCATCTTTCTGCTGGAATGATCTCTCCTGGTTCCAGAGCATAACTCAGTTGCCCATCATCCTGAAAGGGATTCTGACAAAAGAGGACGCCGAATTAGCCGTGAAACACAAAGTCCAAGGCATCATTGTCTCCAACCACGGTGGAAGGCAGTTAGATGAAGTTCCTGCTTCAGTAAGTAGGACGTCTTCAGAGGAGTGTGTTTGTGAGTGTCGTGTGTCTACATCAAAGTACTCTGTGCAGTCTGAGGCACATTCTACTCTTTCTTATCACGTGTGTCCCCTATGGGCGTTAAAGGCTGCTAATTATTAATAATAGCCTAGTAAATGTGAAGTTTTTAAATAAATTTTACATGCATCATCTCTAAGCCTTGTGACAGTGTTGCAAGAGAGGTTTTTACCTAGTTAACAAATGTGATGCCGGAGTTTAGAAATGTCACTTTCCCAAGTTCAAATAAAAAGCAAGTTGTTGAAGAAGGCTAGATAAGCTGTTCCAAAGGGGCACCGAGACCCCCACCTTCTGTAAGAAGTGTCAGATTGAAGCTTGTAAGTTCACATTGATCATACCTACATGTTTTCCCATCTGACATACCTCAGGAAGGAGCAGTACCTCTCTTAAACTAATAAATAATCTGGTTTTCATAATAAAACAAAAATGGGCCTAACGCACCCTTTACTAAACTCTAAGCCTACAATTCTCTTCTGTCACTCACATGCTTGTGTTCATTTTCACGGAGGTTAGTGGGGAGAAAACGAGGGGAAGGGAAGCTGGAAAAGAATTTTGAGATGGGGACTAGTTGCTGACTTATTCTCATGGAGGTATACGTGTTATCTCATTTCAAAAAGTTCTCTTGTTGCTTGACTAATTTTGAGAAAAGAGTGAGAATGTTTTTCTCCTGCATTTAGCCTTTTTATTATATAAAGCTATGAAATATACATAAATATACACAAAACACACATTTATATATACATATACAAAACCAAAACAATAGGTATCACCTCTATTTTCATCTCTATCATTAAAGTCAGTATTTTGACACTTTTTGTCATCGATTTCTTTCTTTTTTTGGAGACAGGGTCTCACTGTGTAATTGAGACTGACCTGGAACTCACTATGTAGCCCAGGCTGGTCTCGAACTCACAGTGATCCTCCTGCTTGATTTCTTAATGTAAATAGAACTATTTCAGTTTTTTAATTATTATACATAATATTTTGTGCTTCTTTTCATTTAAAGATATATTAGGAGCAACTTTTGTTTCAATATATATGCTCCATGTATTTTAACAGTGTATCCTTATGATGGACAATTTATATAACCAATCTCCTGTCTTTGAATTTTTATATTGCTTTTTTGATCTTTCACTATTATAAAAAAATACATCCATGAACTTCCTTAAAGCTATAATCTTTAGCATATTCTCCATTGCTTCTTTAAGATGAATTTCAGAAAGTAGGAAGGTATCAGCAGCCACTGCCACGTTTGATAGCATATGATTCTTAGAGGTTTCAGGTGCCAAACGTTCACTTCCTCCTCTGCACCCAGAGATTGCTAGCAGAGAATGGGTAAAAGAATGACAGGTCCATGTACAGGGCAAGGAGCACACTTTACTGTGTCTCTCCGATCAGGGCCACTTTGAAGGGCTGAGTCAGGCCTCCTACTTCCCACCCCACCTCTTGACCTGTGGCTTTAGAATAAAGTATATGTGCAGGGCACACGCTCACCTCTAACACCCAACTTCTGCAAAGATGCCCACAAGCCCTTCTCTCGCACACCCAGGAACTGGAAGAGTGCAAAAGAGCACAGCAGAACCTGGGTTGTCCCAAATGTACCTACCTATCGAATAGGAGCAGAGAAAGCAGGGAAAAGCCTGCCATCGATGAACAGTAAGCAGAATGGCAGATTGGCTTTGGAAAGAAAACTAATACAGACATGTTACAATAGGTTTCAGGCTGTCTTTAATTAAATTAGCTACTCCTGCCCCTTTAGAAGGACCAGCTAGCACAGGGACAAAGAAGCAGACTACATCTCCTCTTGTGCTTTCTCAGTGGAGAATGAGGCATGGCAAAGGCACAAGCCAGAGAGGATTTCTCCTGCCACGTTAGGTTGATCTACAGGCTGTTCTCAGCCTTTGGTGTAACCCAAAGCCATCCAGGGAGAGCTCTTTTGGAAGGTACCAAAACACTTTATAAGATAATTAATATTTTTATACACTATTGAAAAATTAAAAATTAACACCAAAGAAATATGTGATGAACCAAAGTGTTATTTTTAAAGACCGGATCTGACCCTATCCTTATAGGATCCTGTCTTACTAATCTCACTTGAATCTTTGCCATGGGTCACATAAAATTTTTGTTGGTTCAAATAAACTCTCACCTCCAGGTCAGAGTTTACCACTTGATTTTTTTAAAGAAACATTACATTCACTTGTCATTTATCTGATGGTTTCGATGACTTCTTAGATTCTCTACTTGTGATAAGTCCCTCACTCCTCTCAGGCTGGTGCCGTACAATGACTGCAACATGGTCAGTTGAAAATCTCATTTAAAAAATTAAAAAATTATTATTTATTTATTGTTTGTTTGTTTATTTTTCTGAGACAGGGTCTCATTATGTAGTTCAGTGTGGCCTTGAACTCAAGTAGCCCAGACTGTCTTTGGAATCATGGCAATGCTCCTGGCTCAGCCCCCTGAGTGCTGGCATTTCAGATATATATCCCCATACCCAGCTGAAAAATACTATTTACTATGAAATTCCATATCTATCACTGTCCACATTTTCTCCTGGCACCAGAGGATAGGGTAAGTCAGTTGTTATCCTCCAAAGGCTAATGAATATCCTCTTCTAACCTATTAAAAATGAACCCTAAAACCATACTGCATCTTGGGCTGAAATTCACTCCCTATTCTATTTCTGAAATTATTGTCAACTTCATTTTCTAGTTGGACTAAACAGTTTTGTATGAATACATTTATTTTTTTCATAACATCATAGAAACATTTCAAATACTGTTTGGACATGAATTTCTCCAGTTAGGACATGTAAGTCTGAAATGTATTCAATTCTCCCTTCCACTTATAAGTTAACCCACTAGATTCTTTCCTCCATGGTTCGTTGTCCTACTCAGTCTCAGCCCAAATAGGTCATTCCAGCAGAATTCTGATTAATTTTTTACAGAGCAGAAAGCACCTAGGGTACAATTTCAACTCTTCTTTTCTGGCATCCTTAGGAGAGGCACAGATAAGAACCCTGAAACAATTCAGAACAGCCTCTTCCAAGACTCCAGGCCCTGTGGTGGGGCAGACTACGATGTTCCTCCTTACACATTTGCAGGCCAGATCCAAATCTGGTCTGGTGGTGGTCTGGTGACCGCGGAGCTTCAAGGCGTGGTTAGACCTAGTAATGCAACTAAAGAGAAAATTACTTACAAAATTCCACAGAGAAGATGAGACAGAATGACCGCTTGTGCTTATTTTGGCTTTCAAAAACTTAAACTTTTAGCGTATAATTGCTGCTACTACTTGCATTTCTCAGATAAACCATTAAGAAGTTAGAAGCTTGTTAGTCAAACATGGTGACCTAAGGAATGATGTGTGCAGCACAGGCTGCGGTCCAGACACTCAGGCCATGGCTGATCACATTTGTTTTACCAAAAAGATTTAGTCCCTTAGCAATGGAGGGCATTTCTAACTATACCACCCTAGAAACAGATGCAGTGGAAGAAAATCAAGTCAACACATTCTTTAATGTTAAAGTAATCATTACAAAGGGAAAGTGTTCCTCTTAGATATGAAGGAGAGGCAACTAATTCTTCCAGCCTGAAGACATTTAAATAAGGGTCAGGGAGAAGGTAGACTTGAATTGAAGCAGAAAATAGCAGGAGGGGGTGTCCACAGAGTGCTCCAGGGCCTCAGGAATGTCACCGCAACCGCTGTTGAAAAGCCCCAAGAGCCTCAAGCATGAGAGGGGAAGGGATTGTGAAGAACGTGACCCCAGCTTGGACTTCCAGGTCCTGTCCTACTCTGAGAGGGTACCCACCCCATGCCCCTGAATGTCAAAACAGAAATCTTTGCAGTCATGTGTGGATCTTCTTTTCAGATCGATGCTTTGATGGAAGTGGTAACTGCTGTAAAAGGGAAAATTGAAGTGTACATGGATGGTGGGGTTCGAACTGGCAATGATGTGCTGAAAACTCTGGCCCTTGGGGCCAAGTGCATTTTTCTTGGAAGACCAATCCTATGGGGTCTGGCTTGCAAGGTGAGTGTGGCCAAGTAGGAACCAGTGGAAAGCTATAGAGCTTTTCATTCATTTTCATGCTTTTTTTAATCTTTCCCCTCTTGTTCAGACATTTTTTTCAGGGATTCTAAGGGTAATTATAACTCACCCAACTCTCCATGCTCCCTCTGAAGCACATCACAGACTTTCAGTAGCTCTTATTCCTACCTTTTTCTCTTTGCTTTCCTTTATTTGCAAAACTATTCAAATTTCAGATATTCCCCATCCTCCCTGCCACAGCTGTGACATCGTCTAATATTTGTATCTAACAAATGATCAGAATGTTCTTCAAGGCTCTTTTCATGCCCTACCCCCCTTCTGTCTTGAGAACAGGGTGAATGTGGCGTTGAGGAAGTTTTGAACATTTTAAAAACTGAGTTCCACACTTCCATGGTCCTTGCAGGTAAGTTTTTAAAAATATTCCTGATCTGGAGCTTAAAGTAGGAAGTTTGTAGAACTGGAATGGCAGCCCTCCCTGTAGCTAACCCAGTTGCCTAGCTTGGTAGCTATCCAGTAATGCTTCTCAGAAAGATCAAGACAAAGATCAAGCACTGCTCTCTTCCAGTAGAATCCCAGGGCTTTCTTCAAGCTCATTGTAGGTTCTGGGGAGACTCAGTCTGGCTCTGCATTCCCGTTTCTGCTAAATTAGTTCTATGAACAGACTGTCTACAGATTCAGTGCATGCTGTTTCTACCCACATAATCAATGCAGGCAAGAAGCTCAATCCTTTCCTATGTTTCTATAATCAGGAAAAATACCCTCTTATTAGTTATATTTTTGTGAGCAATACATTTTGCTAATGTTTGGAAACAAGAAGGTAAATACATCATAGATATGGAAATAACTTCAAGTTCAATATCAAACAGCCTATTATTAACTTCTTTCCATCTGCTCACCACCAGGGCCCTCTCATCTTGTACTCAAGCCTACAACCTCCCAGCCCCATACCCGCTTCTGGCTCCTCTTTCTTCTGTCTCTTTTCACTTTTTGTCTGAAGTGACTCTCTTCAATCACTGTATGCAATCTCAGCTAAGCATCACTTTGCATGTAAATTGCAATTTTCTACTAAAGAAGGGTCTCTTCCTTTGACAGAACTTTCCTTTAGATTGGTGTATGAGGTACTCCATTGCCTGCACTATCCATGAGCCTCCTCCTCCCCAGTAGAGTTAGGGTCAGGGATATCTATTGCATGTTAGAATTGATTTCTTTTAAATGCTAAAATCAGAATTGCACACTTTTGACATAACTGTGTTAAAACATGACATTGACTCAGGTTCATAAAATATTTACCATTTCCAGTGCAATCAGAAATGAGAAAAGTGAGCATATAACCATGTGGTTCTTTCAGGCTGCCGGTCAGTTGCTGAGATCAATTGGGATCTGATCCAGTTCTCCAGATTATAAGGAACTACTATGATTGTCCACTGGATAAGACAAACTCACAGCATAGTGTGTAGTGCTTTCCTGCCTGGGGCCAATCCTACGCAGTAGCTCAGACTCTGGACACTCAAACCCTCCGGTACTTGCAGACCTTAAATCCTTAATTTTCCTCAAATGCACCATACCTTTATTTACCTTACCACCTTTTATATGTTGTTCTTTTCTGTAAAATTCTCCTCTGAACTAAAAATACTGAAATGGCAGATAAGCTGAGATTGCAAAAGTTAGTATGTTATATTTTTTGTGTATCCTAAATAACTATGGGCTTTGTGTTCTGGACAGAAAAGCTATACATATATAAAATATCTGACAACAAAAACCATACTCCTATCTACAGATAATAGGGAATTCACCAGTTTATCCCACACAACAAAGAGCTGATCCAGGGAATGTTAATGTGGGAAACACCAAAAAAGAAAGCAAACCCATAGTGGTCTTTACGTAACCTAAACAGATGTATCCAGTATATACTAGCATATTTAGAAAAAGAAAATAAGGCATAGTGCTATTAGACAGCCTTGCTTATGACTAGAATGTACTCAGAACCCAGAAACTAGAGGGAGTGAACACCCAGACTCCCAAATCACTAATTCTTTCGATTCTTCTGATAATAAAAAGTCTTCAAAAGGTAGACTAGTAATGACTTAAATAGTAAGTAGATTCTATTTGTACATAAATGCACAAAACTACGGAATTTTGTGCCTTGAAAAAATATATCATCTATATATGTGTGTATGTATTGGACACACAGAAACATATTTTTTTAAATACTCCCTCAGAGAAATTATTTTCTATTTATCTACACATATCACACACACACACACACACACAGGGTTTGAACTCAGGTCCTTGGGCTTGAGAAGCAGGTGGTGGCACCACTGTGTGTATATGTATTTAAAATATTCCCCACCACAAATCATGTTCTATCTACCTACATATCTGTTAATATTAAAAATATTACCCAACACAAACCATACTGTGTCAAGCAGGACAAGGGAACCAAATGAAAGGAAAGCAAAGCTAGGATACTTAGAATATTTAGAAGAATATTTGATATACTAACAGTCATTGAAAAGAGGCTTTGTATGCTAAGTGAGGTGTCACTGGTAACAGCATAGTAAAATTAAAAGAGAAGTTGACCATAATCTTAGTATCAGATCCTAACTTTTTATGCAGATTTCAAATTAACTCCGACATTGGGCTGATACTGTAGTTAGTTTGGGGCTAAGAAAAGATCTTCAGTTTGGCAGCAGAAGTAGTATATCCGAGGCGAAAGCTCAGAACCATAATAAGCAAGTGTCATCATCAGGGGCAGGTTGCTTGCAGACATAGCAATCACAGTTGCATTGTGGGAAAGGAGGCCTAAATGACCATGAGCCCTGAAGACGGCTGTAACTGAAGTGGTAATATGTGCCTTGGAAAGACAATATCTTCCTATCTTTGTCCATTCATACTTGCTGCTGTAACAAAATACATGTGGTTAGGTAATTCATAAACAATAAACATTTATTCCTCATGCTTCTGGAGGGTAGGAAGTCCATAATAAAGTGTCAGCAGGTTTAGTGTCGGGGGAAGCCCTAGCCTTTCTTTCCAAGATGGCACCTGTTTGTTGTGTTCACCGGAGTAGATGAGTGCTGTGCTCTCACATGAAAAATGAAGAGAAATGTCCAGCCAGTTCTCTTGAATCCTTATGTAAGTCAAAATTCCATTCATAAAGGCTCTGTCATTACCTAGATCAATGTATAAATGTCCCACCATGTAAAACTAGCATATTGAAGATTGAATTTGGACATACACAGACCACACAACTTCACAAGATCAAAAAGGCATATAGAAAAAGAGACTACACCCTCTCCTTTCACTATATACTAAAACCAGAATGGATCAAAAACAAAGGCCCAAGTCTATGAAACTAATAGAAGAAAATATAGAGAAAATGCTTTAGGACTTTAGTCTTATCAAAGATTTTTTATATATAGTCCCAGTAGCACAGACCACACAGGCAGAAATTGACAAACACAATTACTATATAAAACCATTCTGTACAACACAGGAAGTACTCAACAGAGTGAAGAAGCAGCCGACGGAATGGAAGAAAATATCCACAAACTATTCATACAATAAGGGATACATTTTCAGAATATAAGAACTAAAAAATTCAACAGCAATAGATGATAGATAGATAGATAGATAGATAGATAGATAGATAGATAGATAGTTCAATTAAAAATTGACAATTGGGGCCTGAGATTTGGCTCAGTGGTTCCACCACCTGTTCACAAGCGCAAGGGCAGAGTTCGATCCCCAGTACCAAAAAAATAAAAAAGAAAAATTGACAAATGACCTTAATAGACATTCCTCAAAAGAGGACGTGTCACTTTTTTAGCATATTCTTATACTTTCAAATGGCTAACAGGATTATGGAAAATTCTCAAAATAATTGATTATGAAGGAAATGCAGAGGAAAACTGTAATATCATCTCACTTCACTTAGGATGGCCATTATCAAGAAGACAAAATATAAAAGTCCATGAGACTAGATAGAAAAAGTGAATTCTCTTACATAGTGAGAATGTAATTAGTAGCCTTTATGAAAAATGGCGTGGAGTTTGTTCAAAAATAAGTCATACATAGAACAACAATAAAATGCAGCTAACAGGTTACATATCCAATGGAATCACAGTATATTTTGAGACATCTGCACTTGGATATTTACTGTAGCATTGTTCACAAAAGCCAAGCTATGGGATAAATTTAAGTGTACACTCAAGAATGAATGGATAATGAAAATGTGGTATTCAATAAAATATTAGTTACAAAAATAATTGCATTTTGTGATTTACAGCAATTTGATGGAACTTGAAGAAATAAGTCAGGCACAGAAAGACACATATCACACAATATTGTACGTGGAAGCTAAAAAGTTTATCTCACAGAAGTAAAGAAAAGAATAGTGATTACCAGAGCCTGGGAAGGATATGAAGAGGCGAAGGATGGACAGGAAATGGTTAACAAGCAAAGGGGTGAAGTTGTAGAGGAAGACTAACGTCTGATGTTCTATAGAACAGAAGAATAGAATGGCTGACAGACATTAACTGAAATTGCCAAAGTAGCTAGTAAAGAATGTTTTTGATCTTTCTCACCCAAAGACATGACATATTTGGAGTAAGAAAGACATCAATTGCCCTAATCAGATTATTATACATTATACTTATATATTGAAACGTTACACCCTGCCCTATAAATATGTACAATTACTGTGTCACTTAAAAATTTTAAAGAACAGTGTAAATAAGGATCAAAATGTATAATTGATACTGTGAAATAGAAAGAAAAGTTCTACAGGGGTAGGGGAAGTGGGAGGGTAGGGGAAAGGAAAAATATGAGAAAAGGAAAAAATGGAAACAAAATCTTTGTAAATATGAGGGGGTGAAGGGGTAGAAGGGAGGACAGGGAAATGGGGAAAAATAAAAACCAAATAATCATGTAGGGGTACAAGTTCCCAGTGGTGAATGTAATTGTATTGTATACTAAAATGTACCAATAAACTTGGAAAAAAAGAAATTTTAGAATGGAGGAAAGCTAAACCAGCAATAGCCTAACCTGAATGTTTTAAAATGTTTGAGCAAGATCTGGAAATGAAAAATAAGAGAAAGGTTGAGAATAAAGGAATAAAACATTGTTTAAAAAACAAAAAACATTTTAAAAATGTTATGTGATGTAACTTAACTCAAGAACTACTTCAAGGGACCTTAGGAATTTATTTTTACTTGGACTCACAGAATTAAGGCCAGAGACATGAAGCAACAGAAGAACAAATGAAAGAAGTCTGCCATTTGTGCTCATGGTCTGCTAGAATATCACAGAATCCTTTGATTAATTGCCTAATATCTTTTTTATTAAATAATTTAATTTATTGGTACATTTTAGGGATACAGTACAGATACATTCATTGCTGGGATCGTGTGCCTCTACATGACAGGTCTTAGTTCTCACTTTTCCCCCTTGTCCCTGCTCTCCATTCACCCCCTCCTCTGCTCCCCAATTACAAACACTTTATTTCCATCTTTTCATTTTTTTCACATTTTTTTCTGTTCCCTTATTGCCCTTCCCCTACCCATCCCACCTTCCCTACACCTTTATTTAGCCCATTGCTTCCCATTTCACGATGTCAGTTATCTCATCAGGATTTTATGTATTATTACAGCTTATTCACACATCTGTGACTTATTTATTTCACTTAGGAGTACATCCTCAATATGTATCCATTTTCCTATGAATGAATCTAATTTCTCATTGTTTATGGCTAAGTAATATTCCATTTTATAGAAAAACCACATCTTCTTTATCCAGTCTCCAACTGATGGGCAAATGGGCTGTTTCCAAGTTTTAGCTATTACAAACTGTGCCACTATAAACATGGGTGCACATACATCACTGTGATATGATTCTTTTAGTTCTTTTGGAAAGATACCCAGCAGAGGGATGGCTGGGCCAAATGGAACCTCTAGTCCCACCTCTTTGAGGCATCTCCATATTGATTTACATAGTGGTTGCAACAGTCTGCACTCCCACCAACAATGGAGAAGGGATCCTTTCTCCCCACAACCCTGCCAACATCTGTTATTGTTTGATTTCTTGATAGCAGCCATTCTTTGTGGGGTTAGGTGGAATCTCAGTGTTGTTTTCATCTGGATCTCTTGAATGACCAGTGATGTGGAACATTTTTTCATATATTTACTTGCTGCTTTTACTTCTCTGTCTGAGAAAGGTCTGTTCATTTCAGATGCCCATTTTGAATCGGGTCCTTATATTTTGGGGGGGCTGATTGTTTTGAATTCTTTATATATTCTAGATAAGAGTCCTTTGAGGAGTAGCTGGTACAAATTTTTTCACACATTGTAGGTTGTCTCTTAGTTCTGTTGATGGTTTCTTTTGCAGTGCAGAAGCTTTTTAATAAGATGACATCCCACTTGTTGATTCTTTCTACTAGTTCCTGTGCTACTGAGGATGTGTTCATAAAGTCTTTTCCTATGCTAATGTCTTCCAGAGTTCAGCCTAACTTATCTTCCAGCAGGTTTAGTCTTTCTGTTTTAATATTTAGATTTTTCATTCACTTGGATTTTAATTTAGTGCACGGTGAAAGATAAGGGTCCAGTTTTAATGTGTGGCAGGTTGACATCCAGTTTTTCCAACACCATTTATTGAAGAGGCTATCTTTCCTCCACTGAGGATGGTCAGCTCGTTTGTCAAAGATGAGGTAGCTGAGTACATCTGGATTTGTTTTTGTGTCTTCCAATCTGTTCCACTGATCCTCGGGCCTATTTCTTTGCCAGTACCATGCTGTTTTTATCACAGTGGCTTTGTAGTATAGTTTCAAATTGGGAACTGTTATACCTGCTGCCATGTGACTGT